AATCCTAAACAATGTCATTAAACCACAATTAGTAATAGCAATCCAATACACCTGTATATTTGTTATTAAGGCATATTTTGTGATGCCAATGTAATGCACCTGTATTATTATGATTATTATTAATTATTAATACAGATCCATTTTTTATTATTTTAATAATTATAGATGAGCAATAAATCCATATCCAATGTGTCAAGCTAAGAGCAATTTTGATTGTTTGTCAATCCAATATGTAAAATAGAGCAATTCTAGCTTTTAAAATGTGCCACATAACACCAATATATATAGTAAACCTCTCTATAGTAATATTCTATATAGGAATAAACCCTACATAGTCATAAAAAATTTAATCCTAATTTGGGATAGTTTATAATAAGAATAAACTCTACATTGTAATAAGTTTAATTTTTCTAATTCCCATCTTAAGGAAAGTTGCCCTCCTTATAGTAATAATTATCAATTAAAGCATACACGATTTTGTTGCTCATTTGTGATGCCAAGAAGACATTACTATCTATTCGATTTAGTGTAGTGAAATGTCGAATTAATCACTCAATTTTTGCAATACTCTTTTATTTTTCCCATCCACTTCATTTTTAACTTGCAATTCATCGAAATCGGGGATCTTAATTTTGCAATCTTAAACCATAGACAATTGTTTTGTGGCTTCATATCAATTGACTATGCATCAACTGCATTTACAGTTCCATCAACGACACTATCTTTGCTAGTTCCAAGACACAAATCTTCTATCCATTTCCAAAGTAGGCAATTGAAGCGCTGAATTGAAATCGTATACTACTAAAATATAAATTGAAATCTTAATATTGATACTGTAAAACCTGAATTAAAAAATAAAAAAATCAAAACTATAATTTTTTATAACTACAACCTTCATTAGTTATAGTTCTTTATAATACTAAAAATTAGTTTAGTCCTACCATATTACTCTATAACCATTATCACTATATAAAAGTTTTATATATCTTATATATATATATATATATATATATAATATATTATATAACAAAAGAGTTGAAGAAGAGCATGGCTCGGACTATCGTCCTACATAACGGGGTCTCAGCTTTCTCTCTTGAAACCCCGCCCAAATACGCCTCATCGATGTCCAGCGTACAATCACGCTCTTTGCAAGACGAATTTAAGTTGCTAAGATTCGTTTATTAATTTGTTGATGATATTTTTTATGAAGAGACGATGAGAGGAGTTACGATGGGCATATACTGGGTCTCTGCACTATGCGACGGCAATTTCACTGATAACATCTCAAATTTAATTCAAGAGGTCAAGGGCAAAGATACCCTTGTTTTCCATTGCGCTTAAAGCCAGGTCTTTCTGCTTTTTTCCCCTTTAATTTCAACACCTTGTTTATTTTTCAGAATTAATTATTAATTATTAGTGGAATTTGTTTTTTTTTTTCTTCTAATTTTCTGCTCCTTCTGTTGATCTAGTTGGCTATAATGATGTATGTATTTGTTCTCTCGATGCATGCATGTTTATGTTTACTGTATTATTGATTAGATTAAAAGTTCTGCTGTGTTGAATTTCACTAATAGAAAAGTAAAATAAAAAAAACATTTTGGTTGAAAATTATTCATGAACCCAAAAACAAAAGTGCCTCGACGCAAACCAATGGAATATTTTAGCTTTGTTCTCATGTGCTGTTACAGAGTTTAGATCAAAGACTGGATTGTGAAGTTTTATGGTGACCTTCTGTATGTACACTAATCTGTTTATGAAGCATCAATTATTTAAATTAATCATTTAAAGCCATGGAGCTAATTTTTCTTCTGTATCAAAATATCAGTACGTTTCTCTTCATTAAGTTATTACCTAGTGAGACTTTACTTATCACAAATGAGATGAGCACATTGGTGATTTACCATACACGAGACAAGTATAAGTGAGGGTTTTTTTTGGTTAATAAAAATACATTCATATTTGAAGTTAAGAGTCTGACCATCATTCATTCATTGTAATAATCACCAAGTCCTCTTACATGTACCTATATGTCGACACACATAAGTGAAGACTTCTTAGTCCTAAAGGTTCCCTAAGGACACTTCTCAAAGTATAGAACACATAACATTAAAATACAACATCTGGTTCCACACATAATATAGGTTGCTTATTAAGCATGCAACAAATTTAAGTATCCTAAAGACACACAAATAATATGCACATGGAAAAATCATATTCCTACATACACTTCATAATTAAACAATAAAGCATAACACATGACCATGCTAAAAACAAATTCAGATATCAAATGTTCATAATTATGGCATATAAGCATATATACATCAAAAGAAGTATTCAAATTTCATAAGAAAACATGTGTTTATATTTATTATGATTCTAATAAAGGTTCGATTTACTTACCTCTTGATACTCCAACAGCAAACTCAAGTGGCATCTAAGCCTAGAAAACTTGTTAAGAGATCAACTGTCCGCCAACTTTGAGTACCCACATAATTTGACTATTATGATCTCTTAATCCACTATAATTATTTTTCAAAATCAAGTCGAAATACTAAAGAAATGTATGTATTATGTTGTAAACTATAAATAACTCAAAATTTCCTTGGAATCTTTTTGAACTAATTTAAAAGTAGTAGATTTAAAAAATATATATATTCACGTCTGTACTGCTCAAACTATGGTATTGCTCTGCTGTCTTGGAGACCTTAGTTATGAACTGCCATGGCTCCTTGCTAATGAGTAGTGTCTTCTTCGAAGAGCTGCTCCTTTGTGCTTGGAATATTGTTTGTGGTTCGAAGTACGGTCGGACTTTGGGTTTGGAGGCCGATGCTTGAGCTGTTATGAGAGTCTTATTTTGGTGCATATGCATGCTTTTCTGTTAATAGCGTCTCCTATCCTTCTGTTATTTGAATCACTAGATCTTCTACATTTTCAATTGTTAGTCTGAGGATTGGATTTTTTTGTTGTGAACTAGAGTCATTGCTTTGAACGTTTTGGGAATTAGTTATACAATAGAACATATTTTTTCAACTCAAATACCTCTGTCAAACTTGCTTATGCATCTGGTGAGGAAAACTTGCCCACTGTCACTTCAGGTAATCTACCATGCTAGCAAGCTAGGTAGTGCTTATATAGCATTGTTTATCCTGTTTGAGTAAAGCATCCAGTGAGCCTAACAAAAGTTTTACGAGCAATGATTCACTGGTGCTCTGCGAGCTCTTGTTTTCCTTTTAGAAGTGGCACCCTTATGAATGGTATGTGATAGGGGTTATTGAACGATGCCATACTAGAAGGAGATTTTTCGTCTTTTAGGTCAGTCATCTTATTGGGTTTGTAGAGTGCAATCTCCTTCTAAATTGGATTGCAAAGTCATTTTTTTTAAAACTTAAGTCTATGATTTCTCAAATTCCCATCTTGCAACACATCCTCAACTTCTCCAGTTAGCAAGATGCTTGATCAAGAGCCTTTGAAAACTTGCAAAACTAAATCATGATTCTTTACGAGGTCCTGAGCTTTAGTGCTCCAAAATTATGATTGATCTTCATTTACACACTTCTTCCTTAAATAACAGTTCTTCTTTTATTGTTCTCTAACCCCATTCTCCTCCTCTCCGCATGGTCTTGATCTATTTTCCCATAAACCATGTATATAGCAGTTATGTGTTAGCATAAGTGGCTTGAGGCTTAACAAAAAGAAGTGTGACGTATACCTTAGTTATTAATGCTATAATTTTTTAACTTAAGAAATCTTGTGTTGGATTTCTCTCTGTTTAACCTCTTTTTCCGTGTTCTCATATTTTTCCTTCTTGTTTCTTTTCAAAGACAAACTAAGATAGTTTTTTTGAATGGTTGCATGTTAAAAATGTTGTGGATGACTTTGTAGGTTCGCGGACCAACTTGTGCGAGGAGGTTGGCTAATTATCTGGATGAAAAGGTAGTAGATGCTGGAATCAAGAACATTTTCGTTCTTGAACGTGGTTTCAATGGTTGGGAAGCTTCTGGTAAACCTGTTTGTCGCTGCACTGATGTCCCTTGCAAGGGGGAGAGTTCAAAATGATAATTTGACACAAAACCATATTGTTATTTGATGACATCTATCATAATCTATACACGCTTATCACTTAACAGAATGTATTTTTGAGTTTCGACAATGCTATTTACTACCGGATCCTTTAGAATGTGTTTATATGTTTGTGATTTCGATTCTGCGTGTTTTTGGGCCTACTTCATGGGTTATGAAGATGATGCCGCCATTTCAGAGTCAAAACTGCTTAAACATTCAAGAACATATTTCTGATGTTCTACCACACTTGAACTCTTCTAATCGATCCTAATGGTCATGCGCCATTCTGACGACTGTCGGCTACCGTCTGATGGTGGTGGTCGGCTGTCAGCAGTCGGTTGGGTGGGTGAAGGTGTTTTTATTAATTTATAAACTTTTCGGAAAATGTTTTCAAAAAATGTATTAAACACATTATCATAATCTTATTTTATTTGATTAAATCTTATCTTATCTTATCTTATCTTATTTAAAATAAAATAATGTATCAAACAGCCTTAGATTTCTGAAAAATATTTAGAGAAATCTGTTCTTTTTAATCAGCAAATTCAATTTAATTACTCTAATCTAAACTGTTCAATATACAATTTCAAGTTATATGATTAAATTAATATGGTTCTTACACTTTAAATCTAAATCAACTAAAATTATAGAAAATGCCGCTCATTAATCATGTAAATTTAATAATTGAATCAAATGAGGAAAAATGCAATACAACAAAATTTAATTTAAATGAGTAGACACACTTAATTTGATATCAAATAATTCGTGAAATTATAACAAAATGAGAAAACTTTTAATTCGAAAAATAAGTAGGACCTTAATTTTTATTTTGAAAATTTATACAAAATTTCAGGTACAATTTTTATCGAATTTCAGAAAATATTTAAAACTATAATAATATAATTAATTTGAAGAAAGCCTTGGATTGCCCACCAAACCAAACCAAACGCGCGAGCTCTTGTTTCTTCCAACACGAAGGTACTTTCTCCTCTCTCTAATCTTTGGATTTACAAACCCTTCCAATGTTTTGAGTTTTGGATATTTTCTGAATGCCTTGTGCTGTGAGTTAAATTTCAAATTTATGTTTTTGTTAATTGTTCCTTAATGAAGGTTGTTGCCTTTTTTTTTTGAGGTTGTTTATGTGAGGATTAGATATGTTCAGCTGTTCCAAGTATTCATGTTTTCGTCTCTAAACAAAAAACTCAAATTCACAATGAATACGTGTTGCTTTCAAAGGAATTTCTCAGTTGCTTTGCCGCCTTTACTTCCTGTTCAACTACCATCTCAAAGGTATCAGCCATCCCATTTTCTATGTTATTTTTGTAATCCATCTATATTTTGGCGCTTCATAACATTTGGGTTATTGGCATTATATGATATTTTGTTTCTATTTGAAGATATTTGTGTTTAAAGCTTTGCAATCTGCGTCGATAATGATTTCTTTTTTCTTTTTCGTTTTCTTTTTCTTTTTCTTTTTTGGTCTTCAGGGAAACCCACTTTTGGTATATTGTACCTGAGGAGGTGAAGAGTACATCTCTTTTAAATCAGTATTTAGAAATTCTCTCACCAAGAGAGAAGGAAAATGTTTATCGAATGCGTGGAGACCAGCACAAGAAAAGTGCCCTGCTAGCTCGTGCCTTAGTTCGCACTACTATTGCCAGATGTAGGTACTTGATGTTTCTATTGAAACTCTCCTCTTCATTTTTCCATTACATTTATTGTTGGACACCGAGATTAGAGCGGACGATATGTAGTTAAACTTGATGTTCTTGTTCTATATGGATACTGTGTTGGCACTAGATTTGTAGGGAAATTTTTCTTATGAATCATGATATCAATAATTTATATATGATTGACATGCATATTGCTTATTCAGAAGCATATTACACGTAAATATATGTTAGTGCACTGTAGTTGCTCTAAGTTTTCAAAAGTTATAGAGGCATGTGATGAAGAAAGTTTGAGTTGAAACGTTAGAATATGAAACAATTTGATATTTTTGGATATGTTGACACTTTCCATCCAAATGGAAACACCATAGAATCTCATCACTCAGAAGAAAGCTAACGCTTACTAAAAACAAAGTCTAGCTTACTAGCTTACTACTATTAGAAAATAAAGACGTTCAAATAAATGGTTGGAAGATGTTAGAATATCAAGCTTTATCACTCAGTTAGTTAATCACTGTACAAGGTGCTACAATAGTGTTTTTTGGTGATTGCAATAGTCTGATTTGGATCATCATTTGTTAATCACTTCAGCCATAAGCTTTGATACCAAGTTTGAGAACTTAAATGAATTAAGAAATAATTTTCTTAAGAAACAAACAGAAAATCAGAAGAAGAATCTGGAATTTTGATAAGAAAAAATTCAAGGAATTAGTTGTAACACTCTTTATGTTTGTCTAAAAGGATCAGTAGTCTTATAAAAGTTTAATAAGAAAAAATTCCAGACTCTTCTCTTGATTTTCTCTCTGGTTTTTGGTTTGTTTCTTAAGATCTTTCTCAATTCATTTGAATTTTCAATCTTGGTATCAAAGCTTATGGTTGAAATAATTGACAATAATCAAGCTCAAAGGGCTTCTAATGATCCAAACCAACAAAGCTATTGGAATTGGAGGAAGAACCTGTAATTTTGAGGCCTTAAAATTGCTTTGATCAAGCTTAATTTATTGGCATAGCAAAGCTAGAGGTTTTGAATACAATAGTGTTTTTGCTGATTGCAACAGTCTAATTTTGGATCACCAAAAGCTCGTTGAGATTGGTTGTTGTTAATCACTTCAACCATAAGATCTGATATCAAGTTTGAAAACTTGAAAATTGAGAATGATTTTTCTTAAGAAACTAACGGAAAGCCAAAAGATTAATCTGAAATTTTTTCTTGTTAAATTTTTATGAGACTACTGCTCTTTTTATACAACCAATGGAGTGTATATAAATAATTTTTAGATCACACAAACTGTAAGTAAGACCTTTTAACTATGAATGCAGACCAAGCAGCTTTTACATGTTAGCAAACTCCTCCAAATGCACCGTTGACTTGTTAATAGCAGAAGCTTATTTTACAACAACTAACTGAGCTGCAGAGCTTGATGTTGTAACATCCCCTCTCAAGCTTTGCCAACTTGGAATCACATTTAGCTTATTTCTTAAGTACTCAAAATGGTCTATTGTAAGTGCCTTTGTAAACACATTAGCCACTAGATCTTTTGAAGGATCATATCTAACTTGAAGTTCCTGATTTGCAGCCATATCCCTAATGAAATGTACATCTAATTCTATGTGTTTTGTTTTTCCACGATGAACTGGATTATAAGCAAGAGCTGTTGTTCCCTGATTGTTGCACCACACAATAGGTACAACAACCATTTTCACATGAAGCTCACTAAGCCATGATGAAATCCAAGTCACCTTTGCATCAAACTGAGCCAAGGATACCCAGGGGCCTTGTGTTCAGGTCGCGGGAGAGGCAATTACTAGGTTTACCACCACACCTCACAAAAAAAAAAAAGGAAAAATTTGAGCCAAGGACCGATATTCACTTTTGTGCTTGACCTGGCCGCTGATTTTTGCTTTCTAGAAACCCAGGACACCTGATTTCCTCCTAAAAACACACAATTCCTACTGGCAAACTTTCTATCCTCTTGATCATAGGCCCAATCAACAACTGAAAACCCTATAACATCAAGTCTTCCTATTGTGCTGAAATTTAAGCATTAGGTAATAGTTCCTTTAAGGTACCTAAGGACCTTTTTTTCAGTTTGCTAATGTAGATCAATGGGCTACTGCAAAAACTGACTCAACTGATTTACTGCAAAGGAGATCTCAGGTCTTGTAATGGTAGCGTATGGCAATGCTCCAATTACACTCCTGTATACAGTGGGGTCATAAATTGACTGCCTTCTGACTTTGGTCAATTTTTGACTTGTGACCATTGGATTGGAGCAAGGTTTGGATTGCTCAAGCCTTGTTCTTTTCAGCATGTCCTGTATATACTTTGTTTGTGATAAATGCAGGCCTTTGCTATCCCTGAAAATTTCAATACCTTAGAAATAGCCAAGCATCCCAACCCCTTCAAGACAATTTTTCGGTTGAAATCTCTTATTACTTGAGAGATAAGGTTAGTACAATTTCCTGTAATTAACATGTCATCTACATACACAAGTAGAATGAAAATTTGTTCCCCTCTGGGAAAGACAAATAATGATGTGTCAGCCTTAGAATTACTGAATCCCCACAGGACTACACCATCCCTGAGTTCTGAAACCAGGCCCTAGGGGCCTGATTAAGTGCATACAAAACTTTTTCAAGCTTACAGACATGAGTTGGACAGCCTTTATTTTCAAACCCCTCAGACTGCCTCATGAATACATCTTCTGTCAAGGAGCCATTCAGAAAAGAATCTTATTTTTAAATGTGTATATATGATGTAGATACTGCTTTGAATAATAGAATATTTTGTATGGTGAGCATTAAGCAATACTTTTTACTACTAGATCAGACACATTGTCAAGTAAGTCCAAGAAATTTGAAGTTCCGGAAGAACATCTATGGGAAGCCTGAGGTCAGTTCTATTTTGGACGGCTTAGCTATCCACTATCTGCTTTTTGTTGAGCTTGCTTTTCCTTCTAATTTGTATTTTTTAAGGGTATTTTGTTTTCTTGATACATTTATTCTTTTATTTTTATTTCGTGAGAGAATAGGTAGACTGGTGCCCACTGCCATTGCATTTTAATATCTCGCACACTTCTTCTCTAGTAGCCTGTGGAGTGACTCTGGATGTACCAGTAAGTATCCCCTTCTTTTGGGGCTGCAGAGATCAGCTCCTAATGTGATGGCTAAATATGCTTACTGAATAAATAAATAATGTATTGGGAACGCAATTTAAACTTTGCTGTTTATGCTTCTGATTGTAGATTGGTATTGATGTAGAAGAGAAGCAACGAAGGGCTAATAGCAATATTTCAGCTTTTGCAAAACGGTACTTTTCGCCTGAGGAAGTGAAACTTTTAACTGCAATATCAGACCCTGAAATTCAGCGTCAGGAGTTTATCAAGTTATGGACTCTCAAGGTAAGCAACATTTTCTGAACTACTAAAAAGTGAAAAGCATTTCATGGTCAGGTCATAAAATTCAGAGTATCCAAATGCAATTTATGCTTTTCTTTGCTTTTCATAAAAGATGGATTTCCTTTGCAGGAGGCTTATGTGAAAGCACTGGGAAGGGGTTTCTCAGCTGCACCCTTCAAGACCTTTACCCTTGGGTCTAGGATTGCAATTATAGGAGGGTCTCATCTTTCAGAGACTTTAGATTCTGAGGTTTGTACCAAATTTCTAGTGAGTGTCAAATGTAGCATGTGAATGATATGCATGTGATAAAAAGTCTACCAGTTCACATGGGCATATTGAGGTAACAATGACCTATTTTCAGTTGGCCTCCAAAACTGAAGTTGATTAATTTTACGTTCATATCAAGTTCTGCTTGGTATTAACAATATTATAATGTCAAAAAAGGTGGTCATAGTAAGAAGGGAATATATAAAATGAAGTTGAAGAAGATGTCTTACCTTATGTATATTTCTAAATTTGACTTTCATGGGTGTCAAACTCGAGTCAGATTAAAAATCTGTGTATTTATCATTGTGTGTGTGTCTGTGCATATCATTTTAAAATGTTCAGATAAATTTAAACAATCGCCATAAAACTAGAAAAACTTTAGTTTACTGGAGACAAGCTTGACATAGAGGTTAGAATATTCGAATCCTAGGCATCTAAAGCACATTGTTTTTTTAACAATCCTGAAAGCAGTCCTGATTGCTTGCTTAAATATTGTAATGTCTTATTTTCTTTTTTAATCAATTTTTATCAACTTCAAGTGCTAAATATTAAATGATGTGGAAATGAGGAAGCAATCTAACTATCAATGATGGGGGAACTTATATCTATTAAACAGTTGGATCTTATCAGTGGTACTTCCCCATTTAACAATACGTGATTATGTGGTTCTTTCGTTTGCAATAATTGTTTGAGCTAATTACAGTACTGAACATTTTGGGTGCTGATCACAAATTCACAATTCATTTTCTTAATCTTGTTTTCAGGCATCTGAAATTGTCGTTGAATCTTCTGATGACCCTGAGAATCTCACAAGCAATTGGCAATTCGCGCTCTTGGACTTGGCCGGTTCTCATTATGCTGCCATTTGTGTGGAAAAGGATAAATCCACTGAAGGTGTAATTCAAATTCTTATGTAATTAAGTTAAGATAAATGTAAATGCATACATTGTTAAAATTTCTGTCCTTCATTTGCAGTTAAGGCGAGTGTCCCAATGAAATTAAGGGTGTGGAAAACTATCCCTTTTGTTGAAGATGAACGCGTTTCTGGAACCGGTGCAGTTGTAGCCATCAGGGGCTTGATCAACCACCTATGAATATCTGTACAAGACTCCAGATTTTCCGTTTGTATCAGAGTATTCAGCAATTGTTGGAAGCAAAATTTGCAGTAAACATTTGTAATTCATTTTATAGTGGTCTAGAGATTGGCATCCGGCCGTCGCACTAGGAATTTCAGTTATTTTAGGGAACAAACAATCACTGCATAAATTACAAATTGAAATCAAAATAAGCTATGACGAAAAGTTTAAAATAAACAGAATAGTTAGAATAAAATTTCCCCAAGGAACCCAGCGCTTCAAAACCAAATAGCAATTTAAAAACAAAAAGAGGATTAATACTTGGGGGTGGCACAGAATGGTTGGAATAAGATTTCCCCAAGGACCCCAACGCTTCAAAGCCAAATAGAAATTGAAAAAAAGAAGAGAGGATTAATACTTAGAGGTGGCAGGTCCATGTACCCGCCAAAATCCTAAGGAACTGGACCCGAAACCAGCTGGCTCCTGAGATTTGGAACCAGAACTGGAATCTGAAAAACAGGTTCTGATTCTGATTTCGGATACTTGGGAAAATAATAATACACCCATATTACTTACAAAAATGACAAATAAGCCATTTGAAAATCACATATACACCAGGCAGTCTGTTTACAATTACAAATGTTATTGTCATCTCAAGCCAGATAAGTAATTAAGTTAATTTTTTCATTATGAAGGGGAGCATTGATCAGGAAGAGTTTGAAGGGATTATTGTATTGAATATATGTGTATAATACTTTTTTTCCCTTGACCAGGTTTTGTCCTACTAAGTTTTCCTGACAAGGTTTTTAATGAGGTAGTATGAAGTACGTTCAACCATTGTTTTAAAAACCAGATCGGAGGGTAACTTGCTCTGCTGCTTGGGTCACGGTTCAATCGGTCCAACCGGTTGGACTGGTGACATCATCACACATCATGATGATGTCATCACACATAATCTGAAACATAGTAAACATCATAGTAGTTGTACTCATCTGCATAAGTAGATACCCATTCCGGGAACTTCAAGATGCGAGAATTATCAAGAACTCTCATTCTCTTCATGTAACCTGAATCGCCGAAAATTGGGTTTGGATATTCTCCATTTCCCATTTCCGTTGCAGTGTGGGGAGATTGCCCCAACTTTAAGCTGTAAACTTCACCTCCCCATTCTACACTTTCTGCACCACTAATTATCAAACTAAATAAGTTATGAGGCCAGTACCCCACGTTGATTTTTTCTCCATACTGCATCCACCAATTGCTTGTATTTGGATCTTGAAATCAAAGGATTATAAAAATTCTGAAGATATGAGAATAAAATTTTATTCAAAGTGTTTTCAATGAAAGAAAAGTTCCATTTCGTTTTACCTTAAATATGTAAATAGTTATCTGGTATGGAAGGCCATTAGCTACTGAGATGGGATAAATTGCAATCCCAAGTGCAATTTCCTTGACAGTTTGAACAAAACCAGGGCAAGTAAGATCAAAGCACCCTGTTGCCTTTGATCCATCAACCTATTTAATAAAGAAAAGAAATAAAATTTTGGATCTTACGTTATGTATTTAGTAGCATAGACATCTCCACAAGAAGTTAACCTCCATAAAAATTATAATAACTTATTTGTTGACAAGTACTTACGATCCAATATACATACAATCGAGTCTTCTTATCCCTATACACTCTTGGATTTACCTGAAAAATTATGAACCAAAAAAGAAAAAAGGTATTCGTTTAGCCAGTGCTATAATGGATGAATGACTAAACTGAAAAAGAATTCTTAGTTATACTAACCGCCCATCCATATTCTATGCTTTCAAAATCGTAGTAAGGACCACTTTGGAGACTAACTCGGGAAGTACTGTACTCATCGTCAGATTCGATAGAAGGATCCCAAACTTTGATGTCTGCTTTAGCTCCAAAGTAAATATAACCTAGTGTAAGCAGTATTGCCTTCTGATTTAATTACAGAAATTGAATCAAATCAGAAACAATAGGAAAAGGATAATGATTCAAAGTGAATATGATCAGGTATTAACCATAAAAGTTCAGAAGAGTACGAATCAGAAGATGTTCACTAAATTTATTGTTTGCAACTCACCTTGAATCAAATTGGATTGTCAAGACATGCATGCCAATCAGCCTTCATGCGTCGATTTCCGGCGAGGGAGAACACGTTGTCGATTTCCGACGAGGGAGGAACGCGTCGTCACGATTTTAGAGACTGGAGTTGTGATCGATTTCAGCAACAAATGGTTGCGATTTCGGCAAAGAATGGTTGCGATTTCAGCAAGATTCAATTTTGTTTTGTGTGGGATTTCAGATTTTTGCGATTTCTTTCAAATTTTTTCAGAGTATTTTGTGCGTAGAGGAATTGAGGAAGAAGAAACTGCGCGACAGGGAGAAAGTGAGAAAATTAGGGATTTTTTTGCCCTTTTCAGTGTTGGGCCGGTTTTGTTTGTGGTCCGGTTGGACCGGCGATCCAACATTGTTCATGTAACCCATTGACGGGTTAAAACGGGTTATTGTATAATACCGGTTTTTATGTTGATTCGAACCGGACATGTGACCGGTTCACCGGTTGGACTGGCTCGGTTTGGTCCGGCTTTTAAAACAGTGAGTTCAACACCACTTTACAGTTATATTATAAAATTATATTTCTTTACTTATGCTTTTTTTGGTCTTATTAGTTTTTTTTTTTTTTTTTTTTTTTTTTAAAGTAAGGTTAAATGCAATTATTAGTAAATGGTGGATATCCAAGGGGGGTTGTTGTAAGTGGAAGGGTGGACATCCAAGGGGGGGTGTTGTAAGTGGTGGACTTTCAACGATTGACACATGGCCTATGCAAGTTCACTTGAAGACACATGCATGGACTATGATTTGTTAATGGATAATTGGTCTTTATGGGAGGTGGGTCAGTGAGGAAATGCTATAAATTGTGCCCATTTCCTTCATTTTGTACACAAACTCAATTGAGAGAAAGTTAATAAAAACTTCTCATTTTAGCCCACTTTATTATTTCAGTCCCTATTAGTTTATTTTATTGCAATTACACAATTAAGATTACAACAAAAGAATAATTTTCACTACTTCTAGTTGCTAGTGTCATTAACCCATAACTTTAACAAATAGTATTTTATTCATTTATGTTATGCCTAAAAATAAGGGCTGAAATGTGATGGCGTCATCAAGCACTAATCAGAATCCAACAAACCATTCTACCATCCAAAGCTTGACACGTATCCAAAGGCAAAAGGAATATAGCTGTCAGAAACCCAAATCACCTCAAAAATTTGTGCCTGAGTGAATTCAGTTCGCACACCTGTCTAAGCCCTATTTAATTTAAGGATATACATGAGAGTTTTCAATGAATGGGAAGGCAGGAAGGATCTTCATGATATCATACTACTTGCAAATTGAAATCATTACCTTGAGCAAAACAAGTATAAATAGATAGCTTCCCCTCATAAAATAGAGGTTAGACACACATGAATTTTCAAAAAGAAAATAAAAAAGACACATTACTAGAAAGAAATTGACTTAACATTCTCTTTGAACACACACTTGTAACGACAGATTGCGACCTCTTGTAACCTTGTGTAACTATAAGAAAGTAACATTTATATAAACAACCACAGTGGATGTAAGTTTCGCTTTAAGCATCTAAACCACTATAAAAATCTTTTTGTCACCTTTACTTTACGTATTTGCATACTACTGTTATCATAGTACTTCACCCATTCACTATAATCTGTCCATGTGTGACTTCTTGGCATTTTACACGTGCGAAGTCGCTGGTGTCAAAATCCAAGCATCAATAGTTTGGCGCTAGAAGGAGGGCAAGATTCACATCAACTCTCTATCCAATAAACTCAGTTTCGACAATTGACCCGTCAGTTTCCTTTTCAAAATCACCAACAAATCGACATGGCTTGTGGTTTTGAAAATGAGCATCCTAGTAGATTAGCCGCAAACAACAATTAGGAGATTCCCTACAATCAGGGGGAAACTCCTCCCGAAGGAGTTCCCCACAACATGGTGGGAAACATTCCCTCCACCTCCCAAATGGATCCTCCTCTAACTATTGCTTGGGAAACTTTGATAACACTCTCTAAATGATGTCTCAATGGCTAGAATGTTTGGACAGAGTGGTACCACCGAGTTCGGACAGGGTGATACAACTAAAGACACCTACAACTCACACAAAAGCGTGGAAATGGGCACATCCTCAAGTCATGCACACTACAGCGTAGAAGGGTAAACACATTGCCGACAAAGGGCAGAAAGGCTCAAAAGGGCATTCGAATACTACCCACAAATAGGGAAATCAAACTCCTATTTGCGACTTGGCAGTACTTTGCACCAGGAGTAGTCCCATGGCACCTCGCATAGGCACATCTATGAAAGTGCCAGGCATAGAGAATCCCCCAGTCATCAGCACGCTAGTTTTGACCATCGCTGAGAGGGAAACACCTACCATCAACGCATTGGTTCTGACCATTGCTGAGATACGAAAAACTCCCCTGGCCGCCTATCACCTTCACAGGGTTCCAACCTATGTGTGTCAAGGCAAGTTGAAGGCTTTGGTTAAAGCATGGGAAACACTGATCTACAGTCTTTCATTAATCGCAACCGCAAGGCACGCCACCCATGTTACAGAGAATGATCCACCATGACTTGTACTTCCTCAGCTGAAAGATTTACAGTGGGCATTGGATCAAATTTGAGCTCAGCAAAATGAGCAGGGAGTGATCGCTGAGGCATCTCCCTTTTCTCTAGAGGTTCTAGCAACACCTCACCCGCCAAGATTCAAAATACCAGCTATGAAGGTATTTGACGGGAATGCTGATCCTCAGGATCAACTCTATGAGTTTAACGACCTCATGGAGTTGTACCAAATCTCAAACTTGGCAAAGTGTCGTTGCCTGACAATGACTGTTATTGCCAATGTAAGACATTAGTTCAGATCGCTTCCGCCAAGGTCTATCAACACATGGTAGTAGATGAGCTTGTTGTTCTTGAGGCAATTCCAAGTGAACAGGAAGTTCTCAATGTCGCTCAACTACTTAAGCAACATTTGACAAGAGAAGAATGAGTCTCTCAAGTCTTGAGCTGAACAAGGTGGCTAAGATTTAGTGTGAACTCTAATCATTGCAGGAGTTCACCCGTAAACCGAGCTGTGGAACAAGCTTCAATTGGAAGAGAACATCTCCCTTTCTGGCTCCTACAAGCTCGTAGAGAAATATCTACAAATAAAAAGTTCAATGACTACTCTAAATCACCACGACCTCGGGCCTTCGACTAGTGTTCCCAATTGAAGGGATGAATTTTGGGTGGAAAGTAGAAAGAATGATCGCAAATGGGCAAGTGACAATCAGAGAAATGGAAAGAAACCACGCTTTGAACCCAAGAAGGCTTATGCCCCACTACTCTGCCATGACAACTTCACTCCTTTGAATGCGTTGATCATAGACATCTTGGCCGTGACAAAAGAAGCTGGGTAGCCTGCAAATCCAAAACCCATGAAAGCACCCATGTCAAAGAGAAGTGGTAAGAAGTGTTGTCGCTTCCATAGGGACATCGGTCATCATACAAATGAATGTCATGCTCTTAAGTAGGCAATTGAAGACCTTATTTAGAAAGATCACTCGAAAGAGTATGTTGACGGTCCAACACCCATGAGGGAAAAAGATCGTGACAACAGGGAAAGATGCAAAAGTCGTAAGGGTCTGTACTTTGTTGTAACTATCATTGGGGAACCTCACATCGCAGGGACCTTTGGCATGCACAAGATTGGTATGCTCAAGAAGCCCGATATGAGCCCTACAATGTTCTCAACCTAGAGCAACGTCCTCTCAAACAGCGTAGAGAAGAAGAAATAAACTTCTTTGAGAAAGACGCAAGATGAGTGCATCACCTTCTGATGCATTAGTCATTGTGACTGAGATAGGAAGGTGTGAAGTCCACAGAATGCTGGTGGACAATAGGAGCACCATGAACATCCTATTTCAGTTGGTCTTTGAGGAGATGAAGCTGGAAGATACGGACCTAAAGCTTGTAGCCATCTATATGGTTTTATCAGGGATCATCTGACTCCCGAGGAATGATTATTCTTCTAGTCACTTTGGGTGATCCCCATTAAGTGACTAAGATGACGGAATTCCTGGTCGTGGACTGTCCTTTCGCCTTCAATGGCATCATCGGACGACCACTACTATGAAACTTCAAAGTCTTCACTTTCATCTATCATTAGAAGATGAAATTCCCTACTTTGTTAGGGTTTGGAGAATTTAGGGATCACAGTGTGAATCCTGCGACTTCTACAATTAAGTAGTCCAAATTGCATGCAAGGGAAAGGGCAAACTTGAGGGCAAGCCAGAGCAAACAATGGCGATCAGCAAGATAGAGCCACAACTTGGCCCAGTGGAGGATAACATTGATCCTTGCATTTATGAGGAAAACTCCCATAGTGGGCTAGTAGAGACACTGTTTGAGATATCAATAGATGAGCACAAGCCAACTCGTATGCTGAGAATTGGAAGTAATCTCAGCCCTCAACTCACCACTGATCTAACAAGCTTTCTCAGATAGAATATCGATGTTTTTGCATGGACACATGCTAACATGATCGGCATCAACCCGAAAGTCATATGTCATGCTCTCAACATCGATCAGAAAATTCGGGCAGTTCATCAGAAAAGAAAAGCCATGGACCCAAAGCACTATGCGGCTTTTAAAAGTGGGGTGGATAAACTCCTCTCAATTGGTTTCATTTGAGAGGCTCATTACCCTAATTGGGTCACCAATCCTATTTTGGTGAAAAACCCAATGGTAAATAACGGACTTGCGTTGATTTCACCGATCTTAATAAGGCTTGCCCCAAAGACAATTTTCCCTTGCCCAGAATCGACCAGCTTGTTGATGCCACTTCCAGACACGGGCTGCTCAGCTTTATGGATGCATATTCGACATATAATTAGATCTCGATGTTCACGCTCGACGAGGAGCACACCTTATTCATCATAGATCATGGGCTGTATTGCTACAAAGTCATGCGCTTCTGTCTAAAAAATGTTGGAACAACTTACCATAGCCTGGTTAATTGCATGTTTTCTTAGCAGATCAGGAAAACAATGGAGCTATATGTTGACGACATGCTAGTCATATCTCAGATCGCTTCAAATCACATAGCACACCTCTCAGACATGTTCAACATACTCTGAAAATACAAAATGAAACTTAACCCGCTTAAGTGTTCATTTAGAGTAGCCTTAGGAAAATTCCTTGGGTACATGGTTAACCATCGGGGAATTGAAGTCAACCCTAAGAAAATTCAAGCTCTTCTAGATATGAGTAGTCCTATAAAGCTCAAGCAAGTTCAAAGCTTGAATGGAAGGATAATGGCTTTCAGTCATTTCATATTAAGAGCTACAGACCGCTGTTTGTCATTCTTCAATGTGCGTAGAGCCAACAAGAAATTTGAATGGACTCCAGAATGTGCGCAAGCTTTCCAAAACTAAAAGAGCACCTGAAAAGCCACCTCTTCTGTCCAAGCCACTTCCCAAAGAGATTTCACTTTCTCTATCTGTCTATTTTCAACATGCGGTCAGTACAACTCTAATATAGGAAGAAGGCAAAGTTTAATGGCATGTGTATTACATCACCAAACGGCTACTAACACCAAAACAAGGTATCCAGAAATTGAGTGATTAGCCTTGTCCTTATTAATCACATCCATAAAGCTACGACCTTATTTCCATGCCCACACCATCCATGTCTTAACCAATTACCTGTTCAGACAGGTCCTTTAGAAACTAAAGGCCTCGGGTAAATTGCTTAAATGGGCAATGGAATTAAGTTATTTCAGTCTACACTATAAACCTGAAACAACTATCAAAGGGCAAGCTGTCGTTGATTTCATATCGGAGTTCTCCTATCAACTAGATCGAGAACCCGATCAGCCAACTCATGACACGATCCGAGAGACTGTTCAAAATCTGTGAACATAGAGCCTATATGTTGATGGATACTCTAATAAAAAAAGAGTTGGAGCCGATCTTCTACTCGTAAGTCCTAAGGGTGCTCATATATATGGAGCCCTCAAATTTGGATTTAAAGCCACTAACAATGAAGTTGAGTATGAAACACTATTTGCCAGTCTGCGACTAGCAAAAGAGATGGGATCAGAAATGATCTACATCAATAGCGATTCCCAACTGGTCATCAATCAAATATTAGGAGAGTATCAAGCTAAATAAGAGAATATGATTGTTTACTTGAAGAAAGCTAAGGCTACACTCGAGTCTTTTAAGCATTACACGATTAAGTAACTCCCTAGAAATCTTGCGAATACTTTGGCTAAGATTTCTTCATCGCTGGATTTCGATGTTCCAGACAACATTCTAGTTGAGTACATCAAAGCCCCCAACATCACCTTACCTGATCAAACATTGGCGACTACAGAGTTAGAAACTTGGATGATTCCCATTCTAGAGTTAGAAACCTGGATGACTCCCATTCTCATATATCTCAAAGAGAGGATTATTCTTAGAAATAAAACTAAGGCAAGAATCCTCCAAACGCGATCTGCTTATTACACCCTGATTGAAGACCAACTATACAAGCAAGGATTTAGCACTCCTCTGCCTCGATGTGTGATGAATGATGAAATGGATTACATTATGAGAGAGATACATGAAGGGATTTATGGTTATCATACTGCTGCATGATCTCTTGCCAATAAAATTACCAAACAAGGGTATTATTGGCCTATGCGTATGAAGAAACTTACAACTTTGTGAAGAAGTGTAACAAGTGTCAGAGATTCGCGAACATATTGCGAGCTTTTTCCCACCAGTTAACAACGATGATCAGTCTTTGGCCATTTACTATGTAGGGAATTAATCTTATCAGTCCCATGCCAATCGGCAGACGTGGCGTCAAGTATGTAGTAGTTGCAGCGGATTATTTCACAAAATGGGTCGAAGTAGAATCTTTGGCCGCAATCACCACAGAGAAGTTGAAAGACTTTGTCTTCAAGAATATAGTGTGTCAATATGGAATTCCTCACACCCTTATCTTAGATAATGGGAAACAGTTCGATAACGAGTAATTCAAGTAGTTTTGTGAAGATCTGGGGATTCAAAAGAAATTCTCCTCAGTATCAAGACCGCAAGCTAATGGACAAGTTGAAGCTGTCAACAAAACCATCAAGTACACTTTGAAGGCCAAGCTTGGTGCATCTAAAGGTAATTGGGCCGACAATCTCTTAGAAGTTCAATAGGCATATAAAACCACTTCGAGGACCTCTATTGCGAAAACACTATTCTTGCTAGCATATGGATGGAAGGCAATGATACCAGTTGAGGTCAAGACAAGTTCTCTTCAGAGGGAATCCTACAATGAGACAAACAATGAAGCGCTCATACGTGCCAGTCTGGATCTAGTCAAAGAATGTCGCAACAAATCTCAATTATGAATAGCTTTCTATCAACAACGAGC